CCCCCCCCCCCGGGCCTGGAACACCGGGGCTGCCCACAGTTCCGGCGGCCTGCCCGGCCTCTGCCTCCCCTTCTACCCGGCCTGCCAGAGCCCAGCTCTGCCCAGCTCATTTTGTCTGGCAGCAGAATCCCCAAGCCTTTTTGACTGGATCGATATTGTCGATCATTTCTTCACTGCTTGCGCTCAGATGAAAAAAAGTATCGGGTTGACTTGAGGGTTTTGTAGCACATGATTAATGTAGCCAGCGTTAGAAAGGGCAAATGAAAGTCATCCTAATGCCAACTATGGCTAAATTGCTGTGTTTTTTTTGTGGTATGATTTGTGGTCACTGGTACTGTGCCGGGGCAAAGCCCAACATATACATGTTCATCGAAGAATGTGCATGTGTGTGAGCAAACCAGGGTATTGTCTTGGTGGAACCCAGCAAGACATGGTATTCCCTATCTCTCTAGACTCGAGCAGGCTCACCTACCACCTGGTGCCTTGATCCGGCCACGCTCCACCGGATCCGAGGAAGAGATGACGGAGGACCAGATCTTGGAGGACGGAGACCTGGATCACTAGGGATGGCATCCTGAGCCAGGTGATTGGTTTGTGTTTAATGTTTTTTTTTTTTGGGGGGGGGGGAACTGAATGGTTCATTTCATGCAAAACAGAGAGCTGATGATGTGTTCTTCCAATGTGATTGCAAATGGTTCCTTTCTGCCAGCATCCTTCAACGTTTCGTTGTTCTAGGGTTGTTGGGGCCCTAAACATTGGTGTCCCGGATCCAGAAAGTTCTCCAGGCCCCAGGAGGCTCTAGAGAGCCAGTTTGGGCGTGTCCCTAGTAGCGTTCTTGCTCCTAGTAGTTTCGCCAGGAGCCCCTAGTAGCGTCCTTGCTCCTAGTAGCGATGCCAGGAGCCCCTAATACTGCAGCTTCTTGTTCCTAGTACTAGAATAGTGAGACCACTCAAAGACATTCGATAAGATCAAAAGCCGACGAAATCCACGTCCTACCCGAATCGAAACGGATTCATCTTAATTGGAGCTGATTCGGGATATAATATAAAATAGAATCAATCTCGCCAACAGTTTTGGACCGTGATGTTCAAACAAACTGTAACCAGACATTCACCCTCACCACTCCTTTAGCCTCAGGTTAAACGGCCTAAGTTTGACGAATCATGTTAACCTCACAGAATCCTTACAGAATTGCCTAGCCTGAATTTGTTGGAACAAAATAACCACAACTCATCAAACTCACAAATCTGCAGGCCTTAGCCTCAGATATTCGGAAGCTGCAGCGGCCGGTGGGGCTCCCCAACAAGCATAAGCTTGATTTCGGTGGTGTGATGTGGTGTAAAGATGTTTTTTTTGTTTTCTTTTTTTACCAGTCGGAATACTATTGAAAAATCAGTGAGAATCAGGATGTATCAGGCTAGCAGCTATGGGCAGTATGCGACGATGTTGAGTGAGCAATGTGTGTGTGTGTGTTGCTTTGCCGGAATATGTGTTTTATGCAGAATCTGAGGTTTTGGTTTGCTTGGCGTGATTTCTTTTTTCTTGCGGGTGAATCCTTGAGGGATGTTGTGATTGTTTCTCAGTTTAAACAACATCCAATGATAGTATGGCCAGGAGCCCCTAGTAGCGTTCTTGCTCCTAGTAGTATGGCCAGGAGCCCCTAGTAGCGTTCTTGCTCCTGTCCAGGAGCCCCTAGTAGCGTCCTTGCTCCTAGTAGCGTCCTTGCTCCTAGCTACAAGGAACAAAGGGCATCGCTACTAGGAGCAAGGACGCTATTAGGGGCTCCTGGCCTTACTACTAGGAGCAAGAACGCTGCTAGGAACAAAGGGCAGGAGTTGTTTTTTTACTTGGAAACTGCAAGACTCGAATTGAGCCCCTCCAACGGGTGAAGTTTGTCAAGCACCATGCCTTGAACAGTGCGTTCGGGAGACCAAACGCTTCGTGTGTGGAAACCCCAAGCGACCGTTCAACGGTCCCAAAGGCAAACGACCGGCTCAGGTCCTGGTGAAGGGACACCGAGCTGCCCTAGGCGCCGGGGTGGGGACGTGCTTGGCGCCAAGGGTGTGGTATTGGTATTGGAGAATTCCATAGAAAGCAGCTGGTTTGCTGTTGGGGAGTCCAGTCGTTTGTGTGGTGCGTCTCCAATTCCTTAATCAAGGATTACATACTGTGCACGTGGGATTTCAAAGACACGTATACATTAACTGTTTACACTGGTTGACTTGCTGGATAGATCATGAAGTCATGTTGGAGCAGAATTCTTGATGCAAGACCGCTACAGAGGGCCTACAGAGGGCCGTAGAAATGGGATGGGTGTGAACTTCCCGTGTTTCTCCCGGGGGCCAATCGGCAGATATCTTGAAGAAACCTTTGCATTCAGCCACACTGGTACTGTCATTTGTTTCTTCTCTATGTAGCTTTGGAAGGCACCAGCAGCCGATACAAGAAGTCTATCATGCTTTATATCTCCAAGTGATTGAGCCATATTGAACTGTGCATCATTCAGGGAGTTTCAGGAATGTCATTCGATATGTCCCAAGCAGCCCCTCATCCTCATCCATAACTATAACATACTATATAACCTTGATGGGACTTTGGCAATATGTAAGCACTTGCATTTGGTTCAGCAACGTGTTTCTCAGCAAAAGAGTGGCATATATAAAAAATACCTTTGGCACTTGATTTTGAGCATGAAACGTGTGCTTCTATTCCTTTCTAGAGGCTTCTGTTGTTTGGCGCCGTCGACAGGTCGGCCCAAGGCGGAAGATGCCACGCGCCTGTTGCGACTGGACGAAGTGGGGTCACGGTGACCTAAAAATAGCAGGCACTGAAAAGGCAAATGATGCGAACAGTGTTTAATGTTGAGTCTTGAGTGTTTTTCCTACAGGTATATGTTAGGGATTTATGGGCACATAGAGATCAGCAAGCGCTCAAGTCGTGAAATCTCGTCTCACTAGCACCTTCCAAAAGGTCTCCCGGCTGGACTACCCTACACTACCGGTGGATCTCCATGGAACTCACACCCCGAAATGAAGGGAACCTGTGTACCAAGCTCTTGGAAATGGGACCCTGGCAAAAACCACTGGTACCTACAGCTTCCTAGACATGTGTTTGTTTGGAGAAAGTTTGACCAGGGTACCTCAACAATTGGATACCCAAAGGACGCCGGACTAAGTGTTTGACCCCATCAGACGGTATCAAACCTCACTTTTTTCACGGAGGGTGGGTGGCTGGACGTGCGGCTCAAAAGTCTCAAAACGTGATGAATGCAGCTTTGGGATGTGGTTCGAACGTTTCATGGCAGAGCAGATTTCAGGGATTCGCTTTCTTTTCCATTGGATATCCCTTTTTTCATCTTTTTTCCCACACGCTGTGGAGCAGAGGCCGAAGCCACACCTTGCTTCCAGCCACCCTTCCAACGCTCCACCGTTGAGGCTCATCGAGTGAAACCGGCCGAGCTCGGCCGAGCCTCGCGCTGCGCCGGGAAAGAGCGATGCAGCTGGACGGGAGCTCCAATTACTCCACGTCGGTGTCCCCAAACACTATACAGATAGCAAAGACTCCATGTATGTCATATATGCCTACATTGGGGTGGTTTGGGGGGTCAATGTAGGCATATATGGCATACATGGAGTGTCTGGGGATAGCAACAACCCCCCAAGACTATATTGCAAAGACGGTGAAGATCATCTCCCGGGGTTGGAGATCCAAGCGAGTTTTGGTAGGTGCCGTGTAGCGAAGTGTAGAGAGGCGCAAACTCGAAAGACGTGGCCTTTGTAAGGCTTATCTTGTTTCCTCGATGATTCCTTTGTTTCAGACTCACGTGCAGTAGCTACGTCACCGGAGAATTCACTGGGTCGTTGAGGTGCACTCAGTACCAGTAAAACGGTGTGTACCAAGACGGTGCCACTTGCTGGTGTTGTACCACGTTGTATCCGACTTCTTTGGCCAGTTGACTGTGGTACCAGACCTGTGAACTATTGACCAGGTCTTACTGTTGACTGAACGCTACGAGGAACCTTTCGTCAGCAAACAGAGGTGCAATCCCAATCCCTGCGGAAGGACCATGGACTCGTGTGACGTGTGGGTCCAAACACCGGACACGTGGCGCGGCGAGTCGGGGTCATGCATGAGGATAGACTCAGTCGGTGAAGCAACCTAAAGGAATCAGCCTCCGGTATACAACATATTTAATCATCTATACAGTCTATACAGTATATCTACACCAAATACTCCCATGAACCAGGATGAATCAAGCAGAAAGATATTCAAAAACGAACCCCGAGGCCGGCTCCCACACGACCCACCGACCCGCTCTCACCACCTGGCCTTCCACTGTCCAAGGTGGAAATCCCGTGGGGGCCGTCAGTGGCGAGACTTCTCGTGGGAAGCCGTGAGGAAGTCCTGAACAAGGGGGTGGAGGACGCTACTAGGGGCGAAGGGCATCGCTACTAGGAGCAAGGAGGCCTTACTACTATGAACAAGGACGCTACTAGTAAGTATAAGGCCAGGAGCCCCAATCGTAGCGTCCTTGTTCCTAGTAGTGATGCCCAAAATGCTCCGAACGTAGCATCAAAACAGGATCCCGGGTGGACCACTGAACATGACTAGACTAGAGCAACCAGATATTTGGTCGACCCAAAATTCGTGGTCCGGGTGCCATGACCCACATTTGGTATTCGGGACTGGCACATGTTCCCGACATGTTGGGTGGGGCCATCCATGTTGGCATACGGCAGACCAGACATAGAGTGTGGATGTTTTGAGACTTGGGCTGCGGCTGAGTTTTCTCCGAAACTCGATTCCGCTCGGTTCGGGAGCCTAAAGGTCTTTGGGTTCGAGCCCCTAGTAGCGTTCTTGCTCCTAGGAAGTGCTTGGACCCTCAAGGAAGTTTGTTCTTGTTCATCCTTTGGCTGCGCTGACAGCCTTTTCCTCCCGTCCCGTCTCAGGGCTTCGCCGGAACCACCCGCGGTGCAGGCGCCCGTGGAGGCACTTTTGGGACGAAGGTGTTTGCTTCCTGCTCAGATGAACCAGTCCACCCTCAAAACTTCTTCTACGTATCATTTTCCACTAAAGGAATCCCTTTTGGGCATCAGTGTGTGCAGCTTTATCAAACTGCACTCAGCTCACTGGGGCGATCAATTCTTGTCAATATTGAAGACAGGCCAGCAAAGAATCGAAGACCCACACAGCACAGCCTCAGCACTATACGCAGGATTTGGCTGTGTATTTCGATCCAGGACGGCGACAGTATCTTAAGTCCCAGTTTACAGAGCTAAATGACCCACTTCAGTCGTGGGAATGATTTCTGAGATACTGAGAACCCCACCAATCTTTGGAAACTGTTTTGGACTTCCTGGAGCAGCACCTGCTCAGGCCGGCTGGGAGCCTTTCACACAAGCGGAGAAAGCGCCCTGCCAAAAACACTGGCTGGACTGGTGGACGGTCTAGGTGGTTCATGTGTTGTTGCTTGAGGCTTGCCCATTTGTTTCCAACTGACTTTAAACGCGGCACCTGTTTAATGGGCAAATGCAAGCTAGACCATCTTCGAAACTTTACTTGGTTTCCTGCGCTTGTGGCTTGTCGTCCTTGTGCACACCTGTGGATTCCATCCAGGTTGAAATTGGAGAAGGATCGAAGAAGAAGAAGACGAAGGAGACGAAGGAGAAGAAGAAGAGGAGGAGGAAGAAGAAGAAGAACTCCCATCCTTGGAGCTAGCTATTGCCATCTCTCAGCTTCTTCAGTTCGTGACCTTTGGGAAGTCCCAGACAGTGCAGAATAAACATGCAGAATAAACAAACCAAGTTGGGCTGCTTTGAGGCCTTGACTGCAGTACAGTATCTTTTCTATCCGTTAATGTTGGGCAACCTACAGGGTGACCCAGCGGATGATACACCATAGTTGTGAAGGGTGTTTCTCCTGTGGCCATATTGCAGCAATTCGTGGTATACTGATATCTCATGATCTCTCCGACATGTTGGGGAACACTTGCCTTAGAGATGTTTGCTATACAAGTTTAGCTGCGGCAACCGGACTTTTGTATATTTAGTCGTCTAACATTTATTTGCCCAAAGAAACTGTCCAGCGACCATGGCCCTTTGCTGCTCTAGATTGGGGTGATTGATTTAGCTCTCAGGGATATATAGTTTTGCAAGAATTGTCATTAGGACGATTGTGTGGTACGACATGGTCCTTTTGGCAGACTCGCTAGGTTTGCAATGCGTACACCTGGCGACGACGGCGCTTGGGCATGCTCCAGGCAGGGGTTGGATCCTCATTCAAGAGACACCAGATAAACATAGATAAATAGACCGGATTTTGCTCAGCTGGCAGCCATCACATTTGTTTGTTGATCACCCTTTTCACCTGCATCAGAAAAGGTTTCAAAGACATTTAAAGCCTCCAGGATGTCACGTTTCACGTGGGACGAAGATCCAGTCAAAGGCATGGCGTGAAAGAGTCTTATAGCTGTCATTTCATGTGCCTTGGTGCAGCTGGGCACCCAGCGAGTCCTTGAGAACCCCTCCGGAATGCCAGGCCTTTGGAGGGGATTGGTGATCGAATTGCGACATTGGTCACAGATGTGATTTGGGAGGTCCTTCACCACTCCAGACACCAGTCCAGCTTGAGCTTGAGCAGTCACATCGTGACGGACGCACGTGGCCGACGGTGTCCCGAGTCCCGGAGTCCGCCTGAGTCCCTCCGATTGACACCGGAGACACCGGGGGTGTTGTGCCTCCACGCACCGGTGCGGCCAGTCTGCCACCAGCAGCACGGAGGCTCACCGTGTGGCTAGGGTTTGGGGGTGTTGATGGAGTCACATGATTGGTCCATTTGGGAACTTGTATGCAAGCCACCATGGTGTTGTGGAAGTAAAGTTGTATGATCCAATAGAACCATGCGCACTGCATGTGAAGAGCTTCATCGCCACCGGGACGTAGTTCGAGTCTTGACCTCTACACCACTCAATGGGATTTGATGGGTTCAATTCCATCCATGAACTCACCCTGGTTGTTCATGCAGCTGGTCACAGCCGCTTCAGGCATCATGAACGAGTCGTAAGTAAGTATATATATATAGAGTATAGAGGTTTGTATTAATTATTAACATAAGGAGACCTCCCAGAGACCCCCCTGAAAGGAGGAAAGTAGAAAACAACCGTTGGTCTCATTGGGTTAGAAGTACACGCCCAAGTAGAGGTTGGTCATTGGGTTAGAAGACCACCTACCAGCTTACTCAGCTTCTCCAAGCGGACAAACAGAGAACACATGCTTTGCTGATTGTCATTACAGTCTTCGCATTGATGTATTTAAGGTCTTCCGACTTCTGTTTCAAATTGGAAGGTGCACTGACCCTCGATGGCCCATTGGATGTTCTTGCCAGTATCGAGCAGCTCTTGGTGTCATATTCTCGAACGCACTGATTTCGCAGAAAGGGCAAGGGTCTGTTTGTTTGTTTCCGTTTACTGATGGTCCAAACTCCCATTAACCTCTATGGCTGTGCAGAGAATCCAAGACCAGTAACATTGTGCAGGTATCCGAAGCGTCTTTGTAATTGCTTGTTTATCCGCAGGTCGCAGGAGAGATCAATTCCAGGTCGCAGTACATGGACAGTCTCGGCGGAGGTTTCCCTCGTCCGGGTGGGTGCTTACACCTCTCGGCTCAACGACCGGTGTATCCGGGCGATGGCCTAGCTCGAAAGCAGAGCAAAAGAACTTGCACTCTTGACAAGTGTCCCTTTTTTTAAATGTTGAGCTTCCCAGTTCAAGCTGGTCCAAGCCCCTGTTGAAGAAAAGCAACTCTGAGGCCGAGACTATACTATTGCAAGTCTTTCGGGAAGGAACCCGACTGTACGTCAGAAGACACTTACGCCACTTGTTATCCCTAATTGCTTTTCCCGTTGCCATGAATCGCAAGTAAGTTGGACACTGGCACCTTGTCCAACGGAATGGAAGCGGGGTCAAAAGGATCTTAAATCAGGTCAACAGATTTTGGCATATGTTGGCATTAGAAGGTGGGTAGTTTGTTTGCTGTGCTGGGGGATAGGTTTGGTCATGGATACCCATAACTTTTTGAGATTCATTTAGAGTTCATTGACTGTTTGCCTAAACCATAATATATATATAACTATATAGTATATTATAGTATTATACTATATAGTACATATATAACACAATATAGTATTAATACTATATATTACATATTCTGGGTTTTGACATGCACACATGAATGTGTTTTGTGCTCTGACCGGCATTCTTTGAGCTACTTGCTGCAGCTCTTGTAGCTCCAGAATGAGTTTTTGTTGAAATGGAAGAACACCCATGAACAACAGTGGCAAAAGGTAAAATCCAAGAAATACACTTTGACTTTGGATTTGTTGCTTGAAACAGTATCTGTACGTCGTACCGTCGTACGACACTGATATGGCTCAACATTGGATGCTTGGAGTCGGCCGTTCGACCGTCAGGTCTCGCTTGACCGTCCGGGTGTGCGTTCCGCTGAACCTCTCGACAAGGGTACTGAGCTCGCTGAGGCGAAGGTTATGATGGGCGGGGCACCAGCAAAGGACGTCGAACGCCTGGATGCCCAGCGGTGCTTGTCGTGGGTGCCGACACATGGGTGCGACACATCAGCAGGACACATAGCATTAGCATCATTAGCATCCCATCAGTGCGGTGCAGTAGTCACGATCTCCCATGCATGTATTTGTTGATAGAATTATATAGAATATTATAGAATGTATGTTTACAAGACAATCGCTCATAGTCATAGTCTCAATTGGCGTTCTGCTCATGTTTCAGACCACATGCATGACATCTTGATTTATAGGTTTCTCTGCCGATCGACGAGACACCGTTTTTCTTTCCAACAGATAACAGAACGCCCAAGATCAAATCCGATATCCTCAGAATAATAAATGAATATCAAGGGATGATGGCTGTTCATTTGAAGGTTTTATCCTCAGAAGGGAAGACATCAGAATTCTACGAATCATTTGCTGTTCATCGGCACGAGCACAGTTTGCTGCGTTGGACGGGAATTCGAAGGGATGGTGGCTGCTGAAAGAAGGGGCCTTTGCGACCCCTGAGTGTATGTAGCTCAACGACCGGGAGACCGAAACCCTGCAATGACCCCCTGGGTTCGGTTCGGACCAATCGACCAGTGTACCCTTTTGGTGGGTAGCGATGCAAATAGACCCTCTTAGCCGGGTGGAACGGACGCCGGACCTGGTAAATCCCTCGGAGTTGTTCCACCGAGAAAGGTGTCCCCCAGGGGCCGAGGTTGAAACAGCGACCCAGCCCAGGAGATCGAGAGGATCTGAAGTCGCCTCCACTGTCTCCTGGTTTTGACGGATCGGATCATATTGTTTTTTTTGAGTGTCCCATAGTGTCCCTATGGCATATAGGATGAAATTATCCTTTTGAATCTTTTTGGGACAGATGTTTGTTGTTTTTTTGGACAGCAACTCCAAGGTCTGCTCGAGACTTGTCACGAGAGCTTTCACTGAAGCCATCCGCCGAGACCAAGACCAAGACGGCGGCGACCACGGATGCACGAACGGACTTTTGGATGCAGGAAGGAAGTGGCTATGCTAAGTTGACTCACCCTTGTGTGGGCCACGCAGGGGTAAAATTTGGAGAAGGAAGTGGCCATGCCAAGTTGACTCACCCTTTTGTGGGCCATGCAAGGTATAATTTAGAGAAGGATGTTGCCCCTTATCAGGGTCGTCAACACCGACACCTCTCAAACATAATTGAAACTTCAGGGCAGCAACGCTCATTGTTGCTACATCTGTTCTGTATGTGATATTTTTTAATATTGCTTGGTTAGGTTCAGGTTGTTCACGTGAGTTACGCGAGGCTTCGCGTTCTGCTCTTGCTGGCAGCATTTCTACTTCATCTTCGGCTTCTTCTTCTTAGTCCACCAAATATCATGTCAATAACTGGTGTAGCGCTTCTACTTAATAAACCACGGTGTGCTTGTCTTGTTTGTTGCTGTCTGTCTGTAGATTGTTTAGGTTGCAAATCACACAGGCCTTCAAGGAATCAAAGATTGTGTCTTGCGCCTGGGTACAACCCGGTTAGTGTAGTCTCAAATGTGACGGCAGCCTTTTCAGGCTCAAATGTGATAGGCAGCCTTTTAAGGTTCAATGCTGTGTATGAGTTTTAGTTGGCGTCCAGAAGGAGAGGTTGACCTAAATAGAGTGACTCAAGTGATCACTGGACTAGCTAACTGCTGGCCCTTCGGCACATGACAAAACAATGTAGCCTTTGAATGTTGTCTGTTCATTGTTTGAGAAGCCTTTCATTTTTGTATCTTCAGATTTCCTTTTATGACCGCCCATGTCGGACAATGTGCGTTTACAAGCGTGGCAGCTTCAGAACTTGCTGCAAGCTTTTGTTCAGAATGCTACATCGCATCCTTTGGCACACATTGAGCGATCCATACAGAAATCACGGGAGCTGATTGAAGTTTTGCGGCATGATTTGAACTTGGATGCCTTCAAGCGTCGTAAGTTGAGAAGTTCGCTGACTGTGCGACAATTTCAGTCTCGTTGCGCAAAGCTGCGGCACAAGTGCAAGAAGCTGCAAGCTGAAGTAGATTTGATCAAAGGTGAAAAGCTAGCTGGGCGAGTGCAGCATGTATGGTGTATTAGGGCTGGACTGGCTCCACCCAATATCCCCCCACAGTCCCTCAGTGAGTTGTGCAAAGACTTTGGGGTTGAGGAAGCTGAGGTTCTGTCCAGAACGTACATCACCCAAGTGAGGGATGCCTTCACAGAGATAATCAAGAGAGGTAATGTTGCAGAGTTGACCTTTGAGGCTTCAACAATTTGGCAGAGTCAATCAGGAAAAGCGCCGGCCATCATTGTTTCTCATCTGCATGATGAAGCCTCCCTGAAGCCTCACAGGTTACACCGAGATCTCTTATGATGATTTCAAAGAAGAGCATTCGGATTCCCTGCAGAAGTTGGCCGCCTCTATCCCACCGAAGGTGGCTCTAGGGAAGTTTTTGTTTCGAAATAGCTGGACAAGTTTAAAGGTTCTCTTTTGGCATCAGTCACGCTGTCCTAATCACGGGTGATATAGGGCCACGTTGAATCGGTTGGGCGCAGGACTTGGACCGAGAGATCCCTTCCTTGCAGTTCTTGTCGAAGTACAAGCCGGCGTCTGACAACTCCACGCCGCCCAGTGCAAAAGACGCCTTGGCAAAGAAAGAGGATAAGGAGACAGCCCCTGCAGCTCCGACCAAGCTGCCGACAGGAGTTCACTCTCCTTCTCCGACGGTGGCCATAGTGATTGGGGATAAGGCCCTTTCTGGGAACAACCGAAACATGCAGAGGTTTCGTTTCCAAACTTGTTGAGTCCAGTTATTGCCTAAAAAGATCACGTTCTCTTTCGAAAGATTTTTCCCAATCTCCTGGAGAGGTCCGCACAAAGGCCACGAAGCAAAAGGATTTCTACAATGACAAGTTGGGGTTGTCAATGTGCTCGCCAATGACAACTTCAAAGTGCTCTTGGAAGAGGGCGAGAAGAAAGGTGAAAAGCGAAAGTATGAAGGCCGCTTTCTCACCAAAGTTGATCCGGAGCCAGCTGCTGAGCAGCCTGAAGGCAGTGAGCTTGACGCAAAGCGTCAAAAAGCTCTCGATCTGTTGGGAGATGCAGATGACATCTAGTGGCCATTTTCCCCACCGGCCCACAGACAGGTACAACCAGCTTTTCCAGCCAAAAAGAGTGGTCGCGTCAGGAAGGGGTCCATGAGCACGCTAATAGGCACTA